TTTTTATTATGAGAATATGTAATTAAAAATTATTTCATATTTAGTATCAGAGATATAATATCCTGGTTTGTGGACAAGGATCGAAGCTACCGTACTGAAATTGATGGTTTCTTTGTATTTTGCTATGTCCTGCCTTAGTTAAGAAGGGTTTTGCTACATGTACCATTTGAATTACATTTTGGGTTACTCGGATCTGCCCCCTCCCTCACATGGGGGTCAGGTCCCATACACAATAAATGTGTGGGACTTGACGCTCATGTTAGCGAGGGGGTGGGGTTGGGTAATCTAAAGTGCAATCCAACGTGGTTAAGTAGTATCATTCAGTTAAGAATTAACTCTTGATTGGCAAAAATTAAAACTTTATTCTAAATTAAAATCGACAACTAATTTTAATTACGCATTTTGCGAGATCGGCAACTTTTTAATCATAAATTTTATCAAAATCTATTAAAAAACTGATTTTAATCTTCACCGAATTTAGAAAACAGGGTCATTAGCGAGCACACGTAGAGAGAGGCCCACCATATATTCTCGACGCCTTAAAATTTGCAAATTTCGTGAATAAAGACGACCAAAGCAAATATCTTTTTTTTTTTTTTTTTCCTTTAGTTCATATATTTCTTGAAACTTCACGAATTTGTGACGTGAGTCTTATTCGTGAAGTTTGAAAAAGTAAAACTCACCAAAAAATATCTAATTTTTTAAGGATTAAATTATGTGATATGACTCTTAAGTCTTATCTGAAGTTTGAAAAGTCTTATCTGAAGTTTGAAAAGGGTCAACATAAAATTTCTAATTTTTTAAGGATTATAGATTGAAAAGTACTGAAAATGTCCTGTTAGTTGAGATAAATTATTTCATGAGCAAATTATTAATGACTAGAAATTATTGCTTACAAAAAGGTCGATGTTGGGTCATTTTGAATTTTTTTAGATTTTTAAATGTTGAAAGTTTTGCTTTTGACTGAGATAATGATAATTTTCATGCAATTAATGAAAAGTAAGATCATTAATTGTCAAGAAACTATTATGGTGCATTCGATTGCGAGTATAAAATTTGACGATCAAATTAGCCGTGATGGTGGAAACTGTGTTATATATTATCAGAATTTGTGCTGAACAAATTTTACATGTCGTGTGCAACCTAGGTAACATGGTTTACTTGTAACATTGTTACCCTTCGATTTTAGCACCTCGTCAAGTGAAGCATAAGTTACTATAATGTGTTTATCATTATTTAGATACTCTATGACCAAAATGATAAATGCATTGGTATGTCAAAATCAACAACGTGTCACACAAAAAACTCGTTATTTGTTAGAGATTAAATTGCTGTTGAGTCCCTCGTATTTGATTTCTATCGTCCGTGAAGTTATCATGTGATAGAAACCGTTAATTTGACAGTTAAAAAAGTCGAACTTAGTGTAAAATGACCGTTCTAACCTTAATAGAATAATAATAGTAAAGAACAAATGAAAAGAAAATAAAAATAAAAATTGAAACGCACTCAACTATTTTGCCTACTAGTTCGATCTTTTAGATGGGTTGAGATGAATGAAACTTTCGAGCTTGTTTTTCAGCTTAATATTTTATTATCTAGTACATCTTTTCACATCACTCGTTTTCTAATGTGATAATCGAATTTAAAGTTCAAGCAAAATGATCGGAAAAAATATTTGCATTACCCGAGTATCCTTGAAAGTCGAGGCGATCATATTTAGACCGTTAGATGAATAACGACTTTCGGCAACAAAACGTTTGTTACTATTTATTTTGATGTAGTGTGTTCCAAGAAAAATGTATATGCTTGTTTTTTAGTCAATGACAATTACCTGTACAAGATTAGAGATGGTTTATTTGGGGAGATACATCTTATTTCTGTTAGAAGAGTATTCTTTTTCAATGTTTGTTATGATTTATTATGAGTAAGAACAGTCTTGTTTGTGAAGTTTGTCTTACGTTGGATCTATTTGCGGTTGAATAGGTCAAATGATTTTGGGTGATTAAATCTTTGAAGTGTGTAATAAAACTCCTATAATCATTTCTAGTTTGTTTGAGGCTAGGGACCATCAAATGGGAAATCGCTCAAGTTAGATTTTCTAAGGGAAAATATGATTGATCCACTAATTAGATAATAAAGGAAATGCCAAAATTTGGGACACGAATTGGAAAATGATCTCTCAAACTTTTATTATTACATTATTCGATTTAATCATATTTAAAAAATAATACGAAGCTTCTGTTTGAGCTCCATTTTTTGTAAAATAACGAGTTCCGTAATGGTATTTTTTGAAGAACGTGTGGCAAAAAAATAGTAATTTTTTTTAATTTACGTATAAAATCATTTTATTGGAAGAATGTATAATTAAAAACGAGTTTACGAAAAACTTAAATTTTAAATAATATGGCCCATCTCACCCCCACCTTCCGAAAATTCTCGATGAGGAGGGGATGGTATTATGGTAATAACCGTCTCAACCCCTCCCCGCTCAATTGTTATTCCTAAATAGTCAATCAAGAAACTTCGTTGCGAGTGTGATGAATATGCCTTCCCTTTTTGTTGTTACAAAACTCAACTACTAATATCTAATATATTAAAGGAAAAAAAATTCATATCTAAGACTTTAGCGACTACCCATTTCAAAACTAAGAAATAAGTTTTAAAATTTTAAATATCCGATATTATTAAATTCTATTAATGAAATTATTAATTAAAAAATATTTTATTAATGTTTTGAATAATGGTTTTATTTTTTTAAATGTGTGGTTGAAAAAGAATGAAATTTTTTCGATTTATATGTAATGTTATTTTATGGAAAATTGTGTGGTTGAAAATAAGATGTAGAAGAAAAAATGAGAATGAGAAAGGAGGCCAAACGGGGGTTAAATATATTAAGATCATAAATTTATACAATTTGATCACAAATTATCGATTTAATTGGTTATAAATTATTTCTGAATCACATATCAAAAAATTTATAAGTCACAAATTATTCTCGACCACATAATGTAGTTAATAAATAAATTGATATGGTACAAAGTCCAAAGAGATTCTTACAAATCATGGTAAATCCCATTTGTTCGGCATCCAAAATAGTTTTCCACTACAAATCTAGAATAAGCATTAAACGCGTTGAATTGAAATTGAAAACGGTCGGTTCAAACAACAGGTGGCATCGCATGGCACACCCTCTTTTAATACTCAAATCAATTCTCCGCATGTTACCCGTCATCTAACGGTTGACAATTTTTGAATTGGTCAGTCACCAAACTCTCCCTACTCTTTGAATCATATTCCACCCAAATCCTTTTCATCCGTAAAAATAAAAAATATAACTGTTATCCATCACATTAAATCATCAATTTTGAATTTATATCTCTTGTGTCGGGCCCAATATAAGGAGTTGAGATCTACTGTTCAACTTGTTGTCTATCAAATAATTTACTGACACACCACTTTAAATTAATATATTCAACTTTTATCTCACGGCTACTTGTGCTTAAAAATAGATGTAAAATGACGTGTCAATGAATCATTGTTGGATAATCAATTTTGAATAGCGGATCTCAACTCTAATATAGATCCCATCGCGAATGAACTATCAATGTAGACGTTAAAATTGCACGCGACTTTTAGTTTATTGGAGATGAATGATAAGTGGTCTTACGATTTTGCTCTTTAACTTCAAGTCGCGTGTGAGTTTAACGACAATATTGACTATTTTTGTAATTACACTAAGCCTCTATTTGAGCTTTATTAAAATGTTAATGCTTTTTTTTTAAATTACACATTTTTCAATAAAATAATATTACACGTAAATTTAAAATTTTTTCTTTTCTTTTAACCATATATTCTTCAAAAAGTCATTATTCTAAAATATATTATTCCCCAAAATTTGATTTTAAAATTGAAAAATTAATTATTATTGTTGATTTTTATTAGACGAGTGAGACTCAATAACGATTATATTTTTAATTTTAATTGGATTTTATGCTTAGCCAAATGTGCTCTAAAAATGTAATAAAGGGCAAAAGGGTAAAGAGAAAAAAAGGCAGGAGAAAGAGTCCCAGCTCTGACCAAAAATATTCGTTTTATAATTTTTTTAAAATTTTGGTGGGTGCCATAAAAATTGAAAAATCAAATGAAGGCTATAGAGCCACACCGTCCTCAAGTGCTTTTGAATTGTCCAATAACAACGGAGTGCCAAAGTTAGAGAGAGAGAGAGAGAGAGAGAAAGGGAAATACTTGAGCAACGAAGAAGCTGCTGATTTCTCCACACACCCTAAAATTTTGTCCATTTTCTGTATTCACGTAGCTCAAATCATATGTCTCTCTCTGTCTCTAGTACTGTAAGAATTTCTCTGGTGTTTAAAGTTGAGTTTTTTTATTTTGGTTTATTTTCCTCCATTTTTGTTTAATATTTTCTGAATTATTTTCGGTCAAGTTGTCATCTTTTCATGAAATTTGATCGATCGGGGCTTTGAGCAAGTTATTGAGAAAACTCACCATCTGAATTTGGTTCCCAGATGAGGGTTTTTGAGGTTTGAGACTGTTTTTTCTCTTGTTTACATTGTTGAAGGTCCTTGACATTAGTTTTCCCTAAAGAACCTGAAGTTCCAAGGTTCCTATCCGATCCTGAGGAATTAACGTGTATTCGAGATTTAAACCGTGTTTCGGCTCAGAAATTTGTTTATTTTTTCATTTTTTGGATTAACTTTAAGTTAGTAAAGTTTTGAGTCGACCATATCTACTAATTGTGGTTTAAGATTTGGTGGGAGATCGTTAATGTTGTGACCGATTAGTGAAGGGTCACTACAATTTGGTAACCGCATGGTCCCCTCCATTAAGTTAGGCAGATAAGTCAGTGGGACCTCTACTTAAAGTTTGATTCACTTTCGAAGAACAGAAAGGGAGGCAAAAGTTTGCTTTTTGATCCAATTATCACTCAATTGTACAATTCATTGAACTGGAAAATAAGGAAAACGACCCTTTCGAGAAAAATGTCACAGATGAAATCTAAGGGTTCACCATCTCTTCAATCGATAAAATCGTTACCGGTGGACTTAAGTTTTGTGGGTTCACCAGGAAATGAAAGGATGATGGCATCTGAAAATACATTCGGAAATGGTGCACCATTGACTGAGGCTGAGGAGGGCTATGCTAATGGCAATGATAATGTTTATCGGAATAATGAATCGCCCTATAGTAGGTGGACCGACGGTAGACCTTCTGTGGGCGATGATGTTGAGGATTTGAAGGCCGTGAGTTCATTCGAGTCGTATGGGCAGTCGCCTGTTGATTCTAAGTGGAGCGACACCACACCATATGTGGCCAAGAAGGTATTAATTGGTTATATAAATTCTGATTCATATTACTCTATTTCTATCACATTCTTTTAAACACTCTTCTTGGAGAGTCAAGGTTGTAGGCTTTTTGTCAGTCTTTACTTATTTTTCAATAGTGTCTGGATTCTATGTCCATATCTCATCTAATATGGGAATGTTTATGTGTCATTTGAATCAATGAATCCTGCAGTGTTGCATTACAGAAAAGTGGATATGACAATTACAAACTATTGCTTGTTTAATATGCTATCTGAATGCTTGAAACTTTGGATGCATGTTTATGTCCATAATTTATATTGTGGGCTGAGGTTATGTTAATAGCCATTGGAAATAGTTTTTGTTAGTTATATGAAAAAATATTTGTAGGACTTGATTTTGAAGAAAGATAAGCTGATAAATAAAAAATTTCGCCAGGAAAGAGGGATTTTCACTGCTAAATAGTGGATGGTAAACTAAGAAAAAAAAGAGGAAATAGCTTATAGAAAACACAATGACACGAACGAGATCAGAAAAGATAATGTACTCTTATGCAATAACAATAGGCAATAGCAATAAATTAGACAGGAGAATCATATACCATGTGCACATGTTGAAGACAGAATTACATTACACTTTTCTTCTAAGTTCTCAGTTGGTGATTATATACGGTGTTATAAAGCAACGGGGAACATTCAGCATGATAAAATCCTCCTCACCACCTACTAATTTTCTTACGGAAAAGAATTTTTGAATAGAGTATAAGAACTTGGGATCGTACTCAAAAGCATAAAAGGGCAAGATTCTGAAGAAAATAAATGCACATATGATGTCCTTCTAATCACTAATTTATTGGATAAGATTGTTGCTCGACATTACACTCACATGTTAGTTGGGAAAGGATATGAATTTTGACTGAATAACTATTACCATTTTCCACTTCTCCTTGATATGGTGAACATTGATTACATTTCATCAAAGCGCATTTAATGTAGTCATTTGTTGCAGTAATAAGGGATGTGAAACGATGGTGAAGTTATCATATATCATTGAGATAAACTTGGTCGTAGAATTTTTCTTGCCACAGTTTAAGGTTTCAATGAGTTGGATTGTGCATGAAGGCCTAGATATAGCATTAATCTTTAAGAAGGCAATGATTATTCAAACCATTTTCCGATCAATGGCAACTTAACCAAATAATTTTCGGTGCGAGTCTTGTGTAGAAACTGTTATTGAGATTGTGATATAGATCTTGGGGGAGTCATATCTCAAAAGCTAGCCATTGAAGATGGAGAATCCAAGTTTATATAAACCATACATTGAAAGCCCATACTTTTGATGTGGGATTGAAGTCTCATACCTTGCAATGGAACAATGGCAATCCACCACGCTCTGTGATCCCCACGCTTACGTCGGATTGGCTTTGCACTAACACAAAATTAGTTCTGGACAAACATTGCTGGCTGGCATCACCATCTACGCCGCTCGATTGCAATCGGGAGACATGGTGCCAGCTACCATTAGTATACATCTTGGAAGAGTTATACCTCAAAAGCTAGCAGATGAAATTAGAGACCCAAGTCTATATAAACCACAAATCAAAAACCCATACTTTCGATGTCGGATTCAAGTCCGATACCTTGCAATGGAATCATGACAGACTGGTGCTGGAGTGAATATGATGCCCATGTAAATGCACTCCTAACCTGCTTGTAGATTTAAGCAGACAGGCATGGAAATGTATCCATGATCCATTTTATTCGAGCACTAATAATGCAGAATTCAAGGTGTTTTGCACTTTAAGGGTATGGCAATTGATTTTGTGCGTCGTGTTCACATTCGTGTTCTGGGGTGTTGTTATTTTGTTTCAGATATAAATATCACCACAACTAGCTGGGGAATGACTGGAGCAAAAGTAGAATTATTTTTGTACCTTTACTAGGAAAAGATGTGTATTTTCTTTTTGATCAGTTAATTAGAGTGTTCATGTTTGACATGTTTTGGACATTTGGTGATATACTCGGTAAATGTTTTTGTTATTTTTCTAACTTCTGAGGTGCTGAAGGCATGTTGAAAAGCTAGGGAGGACACACTGGGCTTGTGAATGGTGATGTACTCAAAGAATACTTTGTGTTAAAATGTAATTTAGAAAACAAAAATATGGGTTGAATTGTAGTATGACCAGCCTTGGTTTCAATTGAGGTGAGAAATTGGAAAAAAATAATAAGGTAGGGAAAAGGGAAGAGTTAAAAGAGTGATTGGCTGATTGCCTATGAGCTATGCATCTACAATGAGCATTGTGCCATTGGTTGGCTATTTACGAAATTCTAGTGGCTATTCTTTTTCTTCTTATCCATGAATCAATTTAGAAAACCACAAACCTAAGAATTATTTGAGTAAAAAAATATTTTGGATGATATAGTTGTGATTTTTGGAATTCAAAATGTCTGTGCTGTGTGTCCTACATTCTCGGAGAATGCCATACGCTTGTCTGTCACGTTCCATGTCTGTGGTTAAGTTCCCTTTTCGAAGTGAATAGTTCTTCTTATATTCTTTTGCTTTGCCTTGTATCAAAACAACTTGATCACATCACCAAGTTGAAATAACTATTTAAATTTCTGTTTAACGTACCTAAACACCACCACAATCAAAAGAACGTGTTAGCAAACTCCGCACTAAATTATTTGAAGATCCTTGTTTTTTCACTTGGAGATACCACCTCTATCGTGATTTGTACTTAAGTTACATGGAAGAGTAATCTATAGTTCTATTCAAATTACATCACATTATGTAGTTTATATCAGTCAATATAAACTGAATAATTATAATTTATTATACAACCTAAAAGTTCGCTGTTTCAGAAGCTTACATCATGGTTTCAACTTCCTGATGGTAACTGGGAGCTGGGTACGATCCTTCCAACTTCTGGGAATGAAACATTGATATCAATTGCCGAGGGAAAAGTGAGTAAAATTTCCTATTTTCTGAACATAATTTTATAAAGCTGCTACATGCGTTCTTCTCTAACCTATTTTCCACATCTAGGTCTTAACAGTGAATTCAAAAAATCTGGTGCCGGCAAATCCTGATATACTTGATGGTGTTGATGATCTTATGCAACTAAGTTATTTAAATGAACCATCAGTATTGTACAATCTCCAGTATAGATATAATCGAGATATAATTTATGTAAGTACACATCTTCAGGTAGAAATTTATTCTTGAATTAACAGGCTTGTTGAATTGTCTAGTACTTTGTTTCTCACTTTGTGATTTCAGACTAAAGCAGGTCCAGTTCTGGTTGCCGTTAATCCCTTTAAGAAAGTTCCTTTATATGGAAACGACTACATTGAAGCGTATAAGCGTAAATCTGTTGAGAGCCCACATGTATATGCCATCACAGATACAGCCATGCGGGAAATGATTCGAGGTGATTTTAAGTATTCGATATGATTTTGTAAGAATCTCAATTAAAATTTAAGACCTGGTAGTTTTTTTACCAAACTCCTTAACTCTCTGTGCTTTCCTAACTGCAGATGAAGTAAATCAATCTATAATTATAAGGTCAGTCAAATGCTGCAGGGACTTTATTTTGTCTTTTCACCAGTGTGACTTTTATTCTGTTTTCTTGTGGAGACAAACTTCCGCTGTATTGCAATATTTAGTAGTCTGAATGCAAGAAGAATGTGCATTTCCCTGAGAATTTGATTATGAAAAGCCATTGTTGTTTGCAAGTTATTTATTTGGAATGCCTACTGTACACATACCTCATCAACCATTAAAATTAATTTAATATGGCAATTATGGAACTGTTTTATCCCCTTGAAGATGTTGATTGCTATTTCTAGAATTGACCCTAGTCAAGAAAATATGTAGTCCTTTTTTATATCATTTTTGTTTCTGTTAATTTATTGCATCTGATTGTAAGTTTAGGTTTCAGAAGAGGGTATGTTGGTTTTAGTGCATACAGTTTCAGTTTATGGTACATTTGAATACGTTGGATTGTCGGCTTTCGAAGTTTATGGTGTAGCTCAAGTAATTCTGATACCAGAGTTTTGGAAGTTGAACAATTATTTGAAATTGCAGGGGAATAATAATATGCATGATTTTTATTTATTTAGAAAAGCCTATGTAAGCACCTCGTCCAAATGATTAAGCTATCTGTGAGTAAACAAGTTTATTTGGCCCTTGTTTGATTAAGCCTCCAATTGGACCCTTGTAATACGAGTTCTAATGGATTAAATCTAGTGTCGGTCAACTTGTGTTCAATTGGGTTCAATCCATTAATATATGCTAGTCCACTAGAGGCCCAATATAGGGGGGTCAGTTATAAATATCTTCTCTCTCATCAGCTGACAATGGGGATACCTTGAGGGTTCTCTTCTCGAACTTGCTCCTTAATTCAATATCAATTTTTTTTTTAACCTTTTAGAGCTTTGAACTCTTGTTTTGCTCGTAAGATACTGCGTGTAAAAAAGCAGTGATGTTATTTAATATGTGAATTATAAGCCTTATGATCATAATTGAAACTTGGAACCCACTTGTGATACATAAAATGAGACGACATGTGACATTGTGATTGATCTTAATTTCTCAGCAAGGGATTTTTTGCATTTCATCTTTTAATCTGAACTAGAACCAATTTATCTATGGTTGTTTGCTCATTTCCTTCTTATTCAGTGGGGAAAGTGGAGCGGGCAAAACAGAAACAGCAAAGATAGCAATGCAATATTTGGCTGCACTAGGAGGTGGTAGTGGAATTGAGTATGAGATATTAAAAACAAATCCAATTTTGGAAGCCTTTGGCAATGCTAAAACATTGAGAAATAACAATTCAAGTCGATTTGTAAGTTACGGCCTTTGCTTCTTGTACTCTCCTCTACTATATTTGTTTGTAGTATTCAGTTCTGTAAATTAATCCACTTACAGGGAAAGTTGATTGAAATTCACTTCAGTGAAACTGGAAAACTATCAGGTGCCGAGATACAAACTTGTAAGTCTGCATCCGGCATAAAGGTCTTAAAGTTAAATTATTGTATGCAATTCTGGAATCAGAAAGACTGACCTAATTTATTTAATTTGTATGTTGTTTCCATGCGGTTCGTGTTATCCACAGTTTTACTTGAGAAGGTATTCCGTATAATTTTTGTGGTTACATTTGATTTCTCATACTAAAGACTCAATAAAGCTGTTTTGATGCAGTCCAGAGTGGTTCAGCAATCAGAGGGAGAAAGGTCATATCATATATTTTATCAGCTATGTGCTGGAGCTCCACCGATTCTTAGAGGTACAGATTGTCTTTCTCCTTACCTAGCGTATATTATTATCAGAATCCTGCCAATTTCATATGCAGATGCCCTGTGCTCTAATTCCACACTGGGTTGTCTTAGTTTTATCGCTTATTGTTTCACAGTCATATTATTGCAACCTTTATTGGCATCTTCCTCTTATTTTGTCTTCCTTTCTCATTTTTGTTGACTATTTATATTCGTTGTCCATGCTATCTTATCCAGAAAAATTGAACTTGAATAATGCAAATGAGTTCAATTATTTGAGGCAAAGCAATTGCTATTCAATTTCTGGGGTTGATGATGCTGAACAATTTCATGTTGTAATGGTATTCTCCTTCCAGGATTCCTCACTTGTTTACCTTCTTATTCTGAATATATGTATCTAGAAATATTTTCTTTTTTCAGGAAGCTATGGATATCGTTCATGTGAGTAAAGAGGACCAAGAGAGTGTATTTGCAATGCTTGCTGCAGTACTGTGGCTGGGGAATGTCTCTTTTACGGTGGTTGATAGTGAAAACCATGTTGAACCTGTTGTGGATGAAGGTAATCTTCTACACTGATCATATAAAAGGTAACTGTTTAAACGTCAAAGGTACAATGTTTAGGAATAATTGCATGGACTGGCTGGTTTATCATTATTAGAGTATATTGGTGTTGAGAGAACCGCTACCATATTTATTTATACAAATAAACTACAAGAGGGAGGGGGACATATAACATACCTCCAGAATTACAACTAGAAGAGGAAAATATATTGTTTGAACTAATTGTAAGCTTGGAAGTACTGTTTTCAACAGTAATACAAGCTAACTTTAGGAAAAT